CCCTGCTCTGTGCATGACGGGGCGGCGCCCCAACTCCCCAATCAGCCCTGCTCTGAGCCCAACCAGGGGCTGCACCTAGGGATTGGGCCTGCCCTCTGCCACCCGGGAGCAGGCCTAAGCCAGCAGGTCATTATCTCCCGAGGGGTCCCAGACTGCGAGAGGGCACAGGACGGGCTGAGGGACCTCCCTCTCCCGCCCCCCGAGTGCACAAATTTTTGTGCACCGGGCCTCTAGTATATGTATAATTAAAGTGCAAGGAGAGGTCCAACTTTTCCCAAAATGATCATCAGCCTTACTAAGTATGTCTGAGATATGCTCTTATTAATTCACACATATTACGAGTTCATTTACTCTATGACTGGATCTAATCATTAATGTTCCTCCAAAGATATCCCTTCATAAGCCTGCAAGAATTCTTCATCCTAACAGCCATTAAAAGAGAAAAGTTTTTCGCATATAGCTTTTAGGGGGTTTTCAGCATGTTTCATCTTGTTGACTCATGCTTAATTGTTTTAGCACATTTTACTACGGCAGTTACCTGCCAGAGGAGAAAACACTAAACGCAAAGGAAGATGACCTTCCCCTGTGCCAATGAGAACAGAGCACAGCATGGAACCCAACTGCTGTGGTCAGTGACAGGGGCTCTGCGACAAACTCCAAGTGCCCAAACTCCAAGAAATCGCTTTAATAAAATTAGCACTAAGGGCAGTAACCTAAACAGAAAGTGACCACCTGCTCCCATGAAGAGCCCAGCAGCAGTAAGGGGCTGGGGTCACACCAGGTTCAAACCTTACAGCAACAAAAGACCAAAGAAGAGCAATTCAGTTCAACACAGGAGCTGCACTGAGAACCACAGGCTAGATTCAGGTTCTCCATCAGCCAGTCCCTGAATAAGAGATGATTCAGGTCTATATGAAATGTAAGGGGCATGTCAGCAGGCAGGAGGCTCTTGAGGGCACCCAGTAGGAAGCAGCCAGCTGAGAGGGGAAGAAAGGCTCCTGCAAGTATTGCCAGCAAGAGACTAGAAGATCTGATCCTATCCGGGGGAACTGGACTTCCCAGTGTCCCTGACCCCCGCCCCCAATAAAATGAACACTGGACAGTTACAGGCAGGCATCAAAGAGTGAACACACCATGGAGACTGAACAACCTTCTGTACAGTACAGAGAGAGGAAAATCCACTGTCTCAAATTAAACAAACTTCCAAAACCTCCAAGGCAGATGAGACCGTCAGGAACCAACGGACACCATTCCCAAAGTCAGAGAGAACAAACATGGCCAAATGATGCTAATCAAAAGTCCAGCCAATAGACACTCAAGTACAGTCTGCAGTACTGGATCCTCACTGGCAAACAAAACTCTGCTGCCCTTTTCATAAATTATCATCCTGAAACTGTTCTTACACAGCAATGTTTTATGAAATCTCACTGCGTTAATTTTAAAGACCCTAAATACTAGTAAATTGATTGTGCTTAAAGTATAAATTACTCAACAATTTTCTAATGTTTTGTTACATAATGAGTGATATGCACTCATTCCTAAGTACAAGTTTTTAAATCAAATACCAATTCACTCTCAAAAACAGGACCAGCAAAATCCTCAAGATCTAAGGATCTTCACACTTCTGAGTATAGCGGGAAAGAACACGAGAGCTGTTTGTTCATCAATGCAGATCTGGCTCTTCACATGTAAAATTCCGTGGTTTTGATTCTACCCCACGATACACAAAATCCTCCATGTGCTCTCCCAGAGTAAGCTAGAATGGACAGACCATGCTCATGGTCAGCACTGCAGAGTAGGACCGGCAACCACAGGTAATAAACTAAACCCCATGGGACACACAGGCATGCGATCTACTTGTGCTCGTTAGTCTAATAGTGAAGAATAAATGAATACGAACACCAATAACGGCCTCCTTGCTGCAGAGCTGGGGGGAGGATTTCACAGTTTAAGTCCACATACCAAACAAAGAAGAGGTAATGCCAGATTCCACCGCTGTGAACTATAAAGATGGGAGAAAGGAAAGAACGACCGTAGCTGTAAAGCTCCATGTACTGAAGTGAGCTAACACTAACTCACAAAAAGACACCCAACTACTCAGCCTCATCTTTAAAGTTTATAACTCTCTGTAAAAATATTATAGCACTTTCAGAATTTCTAAGTATTTTTTTTTAATTCCTGAAAAAAAATTAATTTTAACAAAGAAAAGTACTGTGAGTATATTCAATTGCAATGTTTTTTTCTTTTTGATACCTGAATCTCAGACCACAAAGGCTGGCTAATTCAGATGGACATTATACAACCATGGCCCTATGTAATCTCAGTGTGAGGATGGATGGAAAACTCACTTACTAGAGATACTCTTCCTAACAAACTACAGGAGTGCCACGATGAGGGTACACCTTGTGGGGGGCACACTAACAAGTGCTTTCCAACTGTAGTTTGTTCCAATAAATTTAAGTGCACAGAAGGCAAGGGCCATGCTTCATGCTTCATGTCTTTTAGCAATATTTGTGGCCCCAGTGCTTGAACATCAGTACAGACTGGTTGAACTGCTGAATTTACAAGGGAGAGGACCAGATACAATTTGCCAATCATCTGATTTTACTGATATTCAGTAGAAAGAATAAAATGCTACAACTAGGGAATAACTAGGCACAATTTTAAAAGACTGTGACTTCACTTTTAAGAAGCATTCTAAGTAGTGCCCCACATTAAGCTGGCTTACAACACAGCAGGAGAGCAGAGAGCACCTGTCCACACAGGGAAAGATGACCAATACAAACCACTACAGGATTAGCAAAGAACAAGTGTCCGGGATGCCTTTTCCGTGCCTCTCTTTACCAAAACTTCAAACAGTTTTCATGACTAGACCTACTGAACAGAAAGCATTAAAAAGAGTCAAATCAAATAGCTACTGAGATACTCAAACATAATCACGACTGGAACTAAATATTCTAAGATTCCACATAAACAAGCTGTAGGAAATGGGCCTCTGTGACCCATCTCCAGCATGGTCGGCTTTTGATGGAAATGGTTGCTGAATTTCCCCAGAGCAAACAAAATGTAGGGAGGAGGGAAGAGGATATAAGAACAAAGCACTGTGGCCAGCATCATGGTGGAAACCCCCAAGGTACCTGCCTCAACTAGACTGGGGGAGGTGGAGGCAACTAGAAAAGGCTTCAGCCCAAGTTTTTTAAATGGCCCAATGGGAGACAGCAAGACCTAAGCGACATATGAGGAAACAGGTGACCCCATAGTACTCAGCCAATGAGGACCCGGAGGAGGGACTGAATAAACAGGCTGTATTTGCTGTCCCAGGTGTGCCTGTACAACTGGACAGACACCTGCTCTTGAGAACTTATTAAAAGTCTGATTTTTCCCATACTTCTGTCTCTGAGTCCGTTACTTGAATTCAGACAGGTGAGGATTTCTCACACAATCTTTTTGCAATTATATACATACTAGAGGTCCGGTGCACAACATTCGTGCACTGGAGGGGGGGTGGGAGGTGGGGGTGGGGGGATTCTCAGCCCTGCCTGTGCCCTTTCGCAGTCGGGGAGCCCTTGAGGGGACATCCTTAGCACTACCATGGAGGCGGGCCGCTGCGCTCGCCAACCATGAGCCTGGCTTGTAGCTGAGCCATGATCCCTCTGTGGGAGCGCACTGACCACCAGGGGGCAGCTCCTGCATTGAGCGTCTGCCCCCTGGTGGTTAGTGTGTGTGTCATAGCGACCGGTCGTTCCATCCTTCAGTCAATTTGCATATTACCCTTTTATTATATAGGATATGTATTTCATTGGCCAAAATCCAGCACTTTTTGAACTTTTTTCTCAAATGCAAGCTTCCTCTGAATGAGATCATAGGAGAGAGGGCAGAGCTCCCCCTGCAAGAGGCTGTGTACACCCTCTAACTCTGCAGGCTCCCTCACCCCCTGAAGCCCCATGTACCATGCATTTCAGTGCAACCCCTATGTCCTGAAAACCCCAAGATCCTACTGCAGCTATGATCACATCCTTCCACATAATCTCGTAAGAGCTAGTTTTAAAAACAAATCTCTTTAATGATGAATCACTAAAGACACATGAGTAGCCTTTCACTAGCACCTTTTCTGTTGATATTCAATTTAAAAACAGAAAGCTACTATGAAAATCATCTTTCTGAAATAAAAATCGGCAGTCTCCACTTCCTGATCACAGATAACAAATTCCTGTGACATTTCCTAAACTAACCTCCCATCTCTTTATTCCTGTTTGGACAGTTCTCGGTTACAGAAAGGATGAATGAACAGAACATCAATCACTTTCAAATATTAGCACCTTAAAGATGTCTTTAGCAGGTCAATAATCTTTTCACCTTAGAAGAACTTTATCAGATCTTGTCTAAAGCCAGAATAAAAGCTCTGCATTAAGTACTTCTAACAATTGACAGTGTATCTGCACCACACAAAGCTGTTTTCTTCCTTAGGGTGCAATCCTCAAGGTCACAATTCTGTACAGCCTTCCAGAATGACAAAGGAGCATTACCTCCAGCCAAACAAGCTGTCAACACAAACTTTGTCACAGCTCAGATAAAGAAACTGGCAGACAGTGATAATAAGGTCTAATTTCCCTCCCTCCCGAGGGAGGGAAATAGATTTCAAATCAGTCTAGAAACCTGTGCCCTGGCAGCCAGGTTATCTTTGGCACACAAAGGAGAAGGACTCACTGTGAATTCATCTAAAGGCTCATTGATCTCGATGTCCAACACTTCGTCATTGTACAGCTGCTCCTCCTCTGGCTCTTCCACATACTCCATGTGGTCTTCTGTCAGCTCGGCATCCTGGCCTTCATACTGTCCTTCCTCCGGATACTCATGAGCATACAATTCAGACCCATCGGACTTGTGATAAACCAGTTCATCCTCTCCTTGCTCATACTCGGATTCCTGTTCTCCAGACTGGTCATTAGTGTTGTCAGCCAGTTCATATGATGTGACCATGCCAGATGTGGTTTTCAGACTAATTGTGACACTCTGAGAACTAGAGGGAACAAAAATACAGAAAGGTGCCAATTAGAGTGGAGCTTAAAACTAAGTCATACACCAATTAACTGTTACAAGGACAAACCTTGACTGGAGAAAAGTTATTCCAGTTCTTAAAAATACACACTAAGCCCAACAAGGACTGAAAACAGAGCTCGTATTCTGCACTGAGCCAGCACCGCACAGTCTCACGGGACAGCAGCCTGTGTGGCGTACTAAGCCAGCAATGCACCCTCTGATGGAACAGCACCCCGACTATCAGCAGCTGCAGGTTATTTGACCACGAGAATCAGATCAACCAGTTGGGAAAACAGGTCTGATTTGACTGGCAAAAGTTGAGATCTGAAAGCAAATAGTGTATTTCATTCTAACCACCAGAATGAAAAGGATGGCATGTTTTCTAAGATTTCAAAGTAAAAATAGGAGTATTACTCTATAAACAAAAAATCATAATTATAAAAACTATTTTTTTAAATCCATGGTGCAAATTATAGGCTCCTATTTTAAAATAAAAATATTAAAAATGTGTATAAAACTACATTTTAATGTTCAAATAAATAAAATTTATCCTAGTCACAAACATGAAAAAATTAGTTCATAATTTCTGAGCAACATACCAGGGTTAAAGTTTTAAAACTGCAAAAAAAATTCATATTCTACCTATTAAGTCACAAAAGCTAATAAAGTGTAAGATACACTTAAAATACAAGATTTTGCAAATAAATCTAAGTCCCACATATTAAGTATCCAATCCTAACAAAACATATATGCCACACAGACATGTGGTTTAAAAACTCCAAAGGTCTGCTTCAAGGCAACCCCACTGTGATGGTGGTGTGTGGAGGTGAAGGCTTTGGGAGGTGCTTAAGTCACAAGGCTGGAGCTTCATGATGGGATTAGTGCCCTTATAAAGGGACCCCAAAGAGCCTCTCTCCCCTTTTGTCACCTGAGAACACAGCGAGAAGGCACCATCTGTGAACCAGAAAGTGGGTCCCCACCAGACCCTGACAGGGCTAGCTAGCACTTTGGCCTTGGACTTCCCGGCCTCCAGAACTGTGGGAAATAAATTTGTTGTTTATAAGCCACCCAGTTTATAGTATTTTACTATTGCAGCCCAAACAGACTAAAACAATTACATTCAGATAGTCAACCGGAGATAAAGTACAGTCCAAAGGAATTTCCAAAATGGCAATTCCCAAACGGTAATCAGCTAGGTACAAGTAAAAACTGTCTAGAAGAAAGCAAAAACAGCAACAGCAAACAGCAGCAAACAAAATGACGAGCCCAGGGGCATTGCCCCAATCAGATATAGCAATTCCTCAAAACAGCAGTACACACCTGTGCTGAGCTTTCTTATCACCTGCACTCAGCAGAACCCACAGAGGTCATTAAATGCAAGGCCAACACTGACTTTTAAACAGTTGATCTACTTATAGAAAAATGTACCTATTTATGGCTTTTACATCAGAGTTATATTAATATCCCATTTAGAATAAAATCATGTTAAAAATATAATACATTAAATTATCTCCATTGTAATTATAAATTACAAACAGTTCTTATCAACTTAGTTAAATAAAGACAATTTTTAAGGAGTTAATAGAGTACCTGAAATTTTCGTCGTCTTCATTATCACTCTGTAAAAGATCATCGTTCAGCTCTTCATCTGACAAATCCGACTGATTCTAATTAAAATAAGAAATCTACTTAATGCATGTCATTTCCGTAATAAGACTTGTTATAAAAAGTGCAAAATCACGCTGACTGGATTGTTTCTAACCTTGTTATTAAAATATTTACCATTCAGAAAGTTTTCACAGTTTCATGTAACCAGTGACAAAATGGAGAAATCCCACATACAGCATACTTGCTTACTACCCCAGACTAGTTTTTAGATGCACAGTCAAGTAGGTATAGAAGTAACAAGCATAATGATCATATTTACTATAATTCTAACCAAAAAAGGGAAGTCTTGTGGTGACACCCTACAAACAAAAATTTTTCTTAAAGACACCATAAGATTTTACTAAATGTAACATTGTTAGTATATAAAATCTAAAGACTTTTTAAAGAAAAAGGAAAAAAGTGGAATTTTAGAAATAAACAGATTTTAAATAACCGGATCACTAAATTAAAATGATAAGGGATTAAAATAAAACTTTGGTTTGTCCAACACAGTTGGCACATGAAAATAAATATGACTACTCAGGTCCTCACTCCTGTTCTTGACGGCCCTGTGCACTCATTATGCAAGTAGAGGTAACTGGTGATTTTGTCAACTGGTCACATTTCTATAGTCTCAGGTTAAATATATACCAGTATCGTAGACAGGGGGCAGGGAGGAACTTCACATTTTCCTTGTCTATTAAAATTATTTCTATGATATATATAAATTACCACTCCCCCTCCAAAAGACAATCCAAGCCCTGCCCCCACACACATATTAGGGACAAAAAAAACACACTTGGTTTTCTACTTAAAGAAGCAGCAAACAAATAAGCAGTATTTTCCCAGCATTTTATAGCTTATAAAAATAGATTTTTCAAGCTTGTCTGTATACTTTCTACAAAAATAGGCTTCTCAAACTTGTCTGTATATTCTCTATTATAGTATTTTTGATGTAAGCCAAAAATATATCAAGCTTATTAGTCGTTCTTATTAGTCCCAAGAGACTCCACCCAATCGCTGACATTAGAATAAGATAAAAACATAGACCCTGTACTTAGTTTACTTGAAGGGAGGTGGAGCAGCTGAAACAAAGCAGACTGCTTTAATGGAGTCAAAATGAAGTTTCACCTCGTTGCCCACATATTCGGTCATCCCAACTGGGCCAGTTTTGAGTGACAGGAACGCCATTAACAGGTGTGAGCCAGGCCTGCCATGGGTGAACCTAGGTATAGCTGCCCAATTCATTAAATAAACCACTTTCAGGAAATCTTTAAAAATTAATCCAATGAAAGCCAAATTCCATTCAATAAGAGGCTGCTTCCTTCAGTTATTTTAGTTGAACATTTAAGTATTTGTCAAAAATCAATGAACCAACAAATAATTCACCAAAGAAAAAAAGAATATATGTTGTAATGGACCCCTGATGGTAATATATCTCACTTTTGAGTTCTGCAGATTCAACTTTGTGTCAATTCTGAACCTAATGAGTAACAGACAGAGGAGACAATGATCAAAACACCCACTTTATTGATAAAGCTGGAAGGAAGAGCTAGACTAAATCCTTGAGGCCAAACTGATTTTCAACTCCCTCCCAATGAACTGGAGTGAGCTCTCTCCGCAGGCAGAAGCGGAGAAGTCAGGGGGGGTTCTGCTCAGGACGGTCTGAGGGAAAGCAGGGCAAAAAGAGCCCAAGAAAGGAAGAGACAGTGGCCATGAATGCGCGAAACCTTCCTCCACTCTCAACAAACCGCCAGACATTCCTGCACAGAAGAGGAGCAAGTAAGAAAGAGAACGAGTGGTTCTCCCATGGCTCTCCGGGACTCCCGAGAATGCAGGCACTTTGATGGGACAGCAACCCTGGGAGAACACTGGGTGCACCCGAAGAGCACTGTCATGCGCCTGCTGCTGCACAAGGAGAGCAAAGGAGCTCTGGAGTCACAGGCCAGCGGTCAGCTGCCATTGCAAGCCCGGCCCATTTCTGACAGCTCTCACCGGGTCACACCAGCCTGCTTTGTCTTACGTTTACAGCCTTTCATTTCTACCCTGTACATATTTAAAATTGACTCTACAACCTCCCTCCTTGACACAGACAAACCTGTCCTCACGTTGTCCCTCACAGTCTGACATTTTTGCTACACTCAATACATGGTTTTGAATGAAAGGAGGCCATTAACCTCCCTGGCCACCAGTGGCCTAGGAGTCTCTCTCCAGTCAGTTACATCTCCGTACATTTTGTGGAGACTCAAGTGTGAAAAAGACAGTGGTCAGGCAGCCAGTGCACCCATCGCCTGGGCTCCTCTCACAGCCCTATAATAAACTCACCAATACCTGACCAAATTCAATCTCATTAGCAACCAAATAAATAGAAAGTAAACCAACTAGATATCATTTTTCATCTATCGCACTGAGGAAGATTTTTGTTTTTGTTATTTTTGGTTATCCTCACATGAGGATATTTTTCCCATTGCATAAAGATGAAGCAAGACTGCCTTTAACTAAAATTGCTAAAGCAGGTGACAAATGCATGAGGGTCCTGTTACACTGTTCCCTCTTCGTTTGTATGGGATTTAAATTTTCTATTAAAAAGTTGTTTTTAAAAAATCATAAGCAATTAGCTGGAAACAACCCCAATGCACATAGAAATGTCTAGGTATACTTTAGTATACACAAACAATGAAATATTACATAGCCATTATAAAGTATCTTAAAATATTTAGTGACAATAGGAAAATGCCAATGATACAACACTAAATTTAAAAGAAACAGTATTTTATATGTAAAGTATGTATAAAAACATGGAATAAGAATGAAAGGAAATAGAATATCTGTATATTTGAGTATGTTTGAGTATAAAGATAAGCTTATCTTTAAGCTTATCTCTGAATATTCCCAAAAAGTGAATTCCAGATCCAGTATGCCAAATATTAACTCCAAATATGAAGTTCCTTCAAGAAAAGTGGTAGTTTTATGGTTACCATTCTCACAAACTCAATACCTGCTAGAGTGCCTTGGACAATATAGGAACTAAACTATTAAAGAATCTACTGTTTGAGTTATAGTTATCAGAGAATTTACTAAAAGTAAATTAACAGTCAGTTCTTTGTGCACTTAAAAATTCAATTCACAAAATTTTAATCTATACCTAACTTTCCAGGAACACATCCCCTTCAGAAGACATATTCCTATATTTTAAGTGTAATTAAATGACTACCATTTAGTTTCAAAAAGATCTTTACTTCTTACCTTTTTGCCAGACAGCAAATCTTCTCCAAGTAAGTCATCTTCAAGTTCACTGGAGAGAAGAAGAGATACGTCAATGCATCATCTCATTACATGCTGGGAATCTACCCAGGATTTGGGGGCTTGGGTACTTGCACGTTATATTTGCTATACTTTCCCTTTTCTTTACTAATAATAAAGACTTATTTTCAAATATATAGGGAACACTGGTCTTTTAAGTGTGAGAGAGGCTTTGCTATAGGAGGTGGCTCTCACTAGACCTCTAAGCTTAGTTTTTCACCTCAATATGGGATCTTTTTTTTTTTACCTGTTCAGTAATCAGTAAAACAATATACTATAACAAGTAGTATCTGTGCTTTCTCCTACCTTTAAAAACCTACAAAACATAGGAAAAGATGTCCAATATCATTAACTAGAAAAATTAAAAACCACTGAGAGCGTTTGACACTCATCAAACTGCAAAAACTGAAAAAAATTAAAACATGGAACAATCATGCTGATGATGACATACAAGTAAATCATAACTAAGGGAGTTATCTCTATGTGACATGGAGGTCCCAGCAGTCATCTGCCATCTTTTGTCAGCATGTTTATGTTCTGAATGATGGGAACATGCTTTCTCATAAAACAGAAACCCTTGAGAAGGGAATGTCAGGGTTTTGTGCTATTCTTGCAGATATATATTTTTATATTTTAATTAAAAAAGAATAAACAAAACCATACAGGAAAACATTTAGACATTTAATTATATTACTTATAAAAATATATTTAAAGACTTTTTACTGTTTAAGGGAACACAGGCCGCAGACTGGGAGGAAATCTCTACAAGCACAAAAATAAATTTCCCAAAGTATAAAGAATCATAAAATCAATAAGGAAAAGACGACCCAAAAGAAAAACAGACATAGATATGAAAATATAACTGACAGAAAAGAAAATCCAAATGATGAGTAAACTGCTAAAATACACTATTTGATTCAGCTCCTATCAGAGTCTTTTAAATAAAAATCAGTTACCACTACTTCCCAGTAAGACCATTTCTTTTACAGGTGAATTTGTTCTAAGCTCTGAGTAATGTTTTATAGGTTGAGAGTCACTGGAGAGTAATGAACTTTATAAAATTTATAAAGGCTATGGTATGAGACGTAGTTTCCAATGTAGAGTATTCTGTGAAGTTTCTGGGGCTCCCTAGTTTCCCCGACAGGAATCAGGTTCTTGTTTTATAATATTGTTGTTCTTTAGTCAGAGCTGTTCACCTTTATGTTAAACTTTCTGACTATAACCCAAAGTCATTTTCACATTTGCAACACAGTATTTAAATGGTAAAATGTATACAGACAGAATCATCATCATTTGAGAACTCCACCCCCCAGCTCTGTCCCGTGGCCTTCTTCCAGGAAACATCCGTGTGCCGGTGCTCAAGCTCCTCAACGAAAGTAATCGCTACACTGAACTGACATCTATCATTACTGGGGACTTTCCATATACTGTCAGTGTGTGTGTACTTGTGCGTATGTATGTGCGCACACACATGCACTCCTAAAAAGGTATTTTCATCTTCACAAGGAATCAGGGAAATACAAATTTAAAATATATATTAAAATGGCAAAAACTGTAAAGTCTACCAAATATTGGGTAGGATGTGGACAACAGGAACTCTTGCAGAAAAGTACTCCAACAACAGCTCTGGGTGTTCACCAAGTCAATACCATCAATGTATAGAAACACAGAGAGATGAGACAACCAGTGTCCCATTGGCCACCCTTTAGACAACACAGGCCTGGAGCCTCTGCCTGGAGTGCCCGTCCTTGTCCTCCAGCCCACCTGGAAAGAGCATCAGGGGGCCAACACACTGTTTTCAGAGAAGAACTCTGCGGAGCCAAGTGGCGGAATGAGATAAATCAGTGTGGACTCTGAAACACACAAGCAGGTGTTCATACCTGTCCCAGTCCTCATCTGCAGCCCTTCTCCTCCAGGACCGCTCTGCACCCGGCTTATCAAATTGGTCAAAGTCATCATCTGTGAAGGAGAGGCCATGAAAGTCAGTCTTCCCAAATTAAAACACATCCACATCTTCAAATAGTGACACAACCTTTCTTTTGAGGATTCCTGGTATGACATTTTAAAATACAAAAGTTCCATATATAACTCTTACTTTAGCCATTTTTAGTAATTAAAAAACCTTAAAGTATAAAGCTATTCAAAGAAAATCAATTTATTGAACACTATTAGAAAAACCACAATAGAACAGTATTTTTAATCATAAATTTCAATAAAACATTTTCTTTATAAAATGATTTAATGTGTATTTTTGCTACAATTACACAAATGGGAAAAAATTGCTGATTTGCTAATAGTTATATTACTTTTTGTAATCTTTACATATTTCCAAATGAATCATGGAGAACAAAGACCATCATTAAGGAAGTTGTTAGGATAGTGTAGAGAACACGACAGGAAGGGGACACAAACCACGCATATACAGTGCACCGTGAACAAGGCAGGGGTTGGGACACGGAAACCCATCAACCCCATGCAGTCAAAAATTCATGTATAACTTTGGCCTCTGCCAAAACTTAACAGTCATCCCTCAGTATCCACTGGAGATTGGTTCCAGAAACCCTTCAGATACCACAATCCACGGATGCTCAAGTCCCTTATACAGTAGGTCCTCAGGTTACATCAGAGATCCATTCCTACAGCACGACGTAACGCGATTTTCACTGTAAGTTGGAACCCACCTACATAAGCACCTACGTCACTCATCCCTCAGTATCCACTGGAGATTGGTTCCAGAAACCCTTCAGATACCACAATCCACGGATGCTCAAGTCCCTTATACAGTAGGTCCTCAGGTTACATCAGAGATCCATTCCTACGGCACGACGTAACGCGATTTTCACTGTAAGTTGGAACCCACCTACATAAGCACCTACGTCACTCATATGGAGCACATACACAGCAGTATTGAAGTGAAACAGTAAAAACAATTTAAAAGAAAGATAACAATTCCTGACCTTTAGTTGTGGTAAATAAATAATAAAAAACATAAAGCACGTATGTACATACATTGAAATGATGGAACTTTTTTTATATATAAAGAAATGGGAGCTGGCGACATAACCACGAAAGTCCGATGTAACCCAAGGACTGTCTGTATAAAACTAGAGGCCCAGCGCGCACAAAATCGTGCAGGAGTAGCTCACTTCCTCTTGCCTCAGCTGGCCGCTCCACCCATCACCACTAGTAGCTCACGCCCTGCCCTCCGCCACCCATAGCTCTCCAACGCTTGTAGCTTGCGCCCCACCCTCCGCCACTCATAGCTTGCGCACCGCCCTGCCCGCCGCGAGAGCCCTGCCCGCCGCGAGAGCCGCTGCTAGTTTGCTCATAACGGCATGACGGCCACGGGCCTTTTATGTAAGAGACTAGAAGCCAGGTGCACAAATTCGTGCACGAGTGAGGTCCAGCTGTCTGCCCCCATGGGGCCCAATCAGGCTGGGCTGGCAGGGGTGAGGGGATGTGGGGGGGCCAATTGGGGCCAGGCTGGCGGGGGGCCACAGGCAGTTGGTTGGCCGGCCCGCCCCTGATCGGGGGGAGAGGCGGTGTGAGGGGGATCCGGGGCGGGGCTGTGGGAGGTTGGGAGGGGCTGATCAGGTTCGATCGGGCCAGTTGGCTGCCACAGTGCGCGTCACAGTGACCAGTTATTCCGGCCACTTGGCTTTCATATATATATATACTAGAGGCCCGGTGCACAAAAATTTGTGCAGCCCGGCCTGTGCCCTCTCGCAGTCTGGGACCCCTCAGGGGATGACCACTTGCTGGCTTAGGCCTGCTCCCGGGGGGATTGGGCCTAACCTGGCAGTCAGACATCCCTCTGGCAGCCCAGCAGCCCTCGGGGGATGTCCACTTGCCAGCGGGGAGCAGGCCTAAGCTGCAGTTGGACATCCTTAGCGCTGCTGAGGAGGCAGGAGAGGCTCCTACCACCACCGCTGTACTGGCAGCCATCAGCCTGGCTTGTGGCTGAGCAGAGCTCCCCCATGTGGGAGCATACTGACCCCCAGAGGGCAGCTCCTGCATTGAGCGTCTGCCCCCTGGTGGTCAGTGTGTGTCATAGTGACCAGTCATTCCCAGTCCTGCTGCTGTTAGGGTCAATTTGCATCTTACCCTTTTACTATATAGGATAGAGGCCTGATGCACGGGTGGGGGCCAGCTGGTTTGCCCTGAAGGGTGTCCCGGATCAGGGTGGGGGTCCTGCTTGGGTGCCTGGCCAGCCAGGGTGAGGGGCTGATGGCTGTTTGCAGCTGGTCACACCCCCTTCAGGGTGGGGGTTCCCACTGGGGTGCCTGGCCAGTCTGGGTGAGGGGCTGAGGGCCGTTTTCAGGCTGGCCTGCGACTGAAGCTCCCAGCCTCTCCTTTTTCTTTTTTTTTAATTCTGGGATTTATTTACCTTCTATAATTGAAACTCTGTTGCCTTCACTGGCGCTCCCAGCTCTGAGGCTGCGGCTGGCTGAAAGCAGGTATCTGGGGTTTGTTTAGCTTCTATAATTGAAACATTGTTGCTTTCGGAGCTTAAAGCAGGCCACGGCAGGGGGGGAACCTTCGCTTCCTCCATCACTGGAGCAAGCAAACCTCCTGCTCACTTCAGCTGCGTAGCTGCCGGCCACCATCTTTGTTAGCAGTTAATTTGCATATCTCGCTGATTAGCCAATGGGAAGCGTAGCGGAGGTACGGTTAATATCCCTTTTTGTCTTTTATTAGATAGGATTAGATAGGATAGGATACACACACACACACACATATACACACTAGAGGCCCGGTGCACGAAATTCGTACAAGAGGGGGGTGGGGGTCCCTCAGCCTGGTCTGTACCCTCTCCAATCTGGGACCCCTCAGGGGATGACCGGTTTAGGCCTGATTGGGCCTAAAGCAGCAGTCGGATATCCCTCTCGCAATCCAGAACTGCTGGCTCCAAACCACCCTCCCCTGCCGACCTGATCGTCCCTAACCACTCTGCCTGCCTGCCCAATCACCCCTAACTGCCTCTGCCTGCCGACCTGATCACCCACTAACTGCCCTCCCCTGCCGGCCTCATCGCAAGATGTCCGGTCTATCCAGTCTAATTAGCATATTACCCTTTTATTAGTATAGATGGCCCAGCACACTGCATACAGTCTGCCCCTGCATCTGCAGATTCCCAACCACAAATCAAAAATACTGTTTTTGATCCATGGTTGGTTGAATCTGCCAATGCAAAACCTGGGGATACAGACTGCCAACTACATATTTATTGAAAAAAATCCATATATAAGTGGACCTGTGCATTTCAAACACACGTTGTCCCAGGGTCAACTGTACTTTTAAAATCTCCAGCAGCCACATTTAAAAAGTAAAAAGAAGCTTGAAACTTTAACAAGTGAAATTTTAAAACATATTTTATTTAACCCAGAATATCAAAATAATATCATTATAGCATGTAATCAGTGGAAAAAAATTAATACTTTACATTTTCCCCACACTACGTATATGATTTGAACACACAGCATGTTGCACATCTAATTTTTTTAATCCTCACACAGGATGGTTTTTTTTTATTGATGAGAGGGGCATCAATAAGAGAAACAGCCATCGGTTGCCTCCCGTACGTGAGACTGGGGATTAAACCCACAACCTAGGTATGTGCCCTGACCAAGAATCGAACCCGCAACCCTTCAGTGCACAGATCTAACAATGCTCCAACCAATGAGCTACACCTGCCACGGCTCTTAACTGAATGACAAACTCACTAGTGGGGCTCACCAGTACCTGTGAACTGGCAGAACAATCCATGAACTTGAAAATAGATCAACAGAGACTGTCCAGTCCAAAAGAAAGGTGAACACGGAACACTGTGCAGCATGCATGTTAGGCCATAAAATAATTGTTCATAAATTTTTTAAAAATTAAAATCATGCAAAGCATAGTTTGTAAAGTAAAACTAGAAATAATGAAATAAAAACCAGAAAATTCACAAATACATGGAAATTAAACAGCACACACTTCATCAACTAACAAATCAAAGAAATAATTAGGGACATGAGAAAAGACTTTGAGACAAATGAGCACAGGATGCTTGGAAGGAAATTTATGACTGGAAATATTTTCCTAACTGCTAAATGCAAGCAACTAATTCAAGTTGTTTTTTTAATGTGCAGGTCAAACAAAATATGCCTCTGGGCTATTCTGACAAGCAGCCAAAGTATGACCTGTGAGAAAAGCAAACAGAATCAAAACAGCTATTTTCACTGCTTTCCCTTCTACCTCCTGCTGGACTTTCAGTCAATACCACATATTTTATTTTATACTTATTTTCTAAAGGGTTTCTATGTTCCTTTCCCTTCCTCCACCAAATTATATACTTCCTGAATACAGGAGCATTCCCTCTCTATGAAAACATGAACAAAAAGTTTTGCTTGCCCTAACCGGTTTGGCTCAGTGGACAGAGCATCAGCCTGTGGACTGAAGGATCCCAGGTTCGATTCCGGTCAAGGGCATGTACCTTGGTTGCGGGCACATCCCCAGTAGGGGGTGTGCAGGAGGCAGCTGATTGATGTTTCTCTCTCATCGATATTTCTACTCTCTATCCCTCTCCCTTCCTCTCTGTAAAAAATCAATAAAACATATTTTTTTAAAAAAAGTTTTGCTCATGGCTTCATATTACTACACAATGTGAAGGAATTAATACTTAGTCACAATCGCCCTTGACAGATATTGCTTAAATTACAGCACCCAATTCTGCTGAAGCCAGAAAGCCCTTACACCAAGCTAGCTCCTAATAACGATCACTGACAAACACTGCTTAAAAATGAACAACCCTTGCTCCTAGCCTAATCTGATTCAGTGGACTCTAATGTTTGTTTTAAAGCTTCCCAGTAATTCTGACAGACAGCTAGGGTGAGAATCCTTGTGGCCCCAGTCAACTGCTATCAATCAGAGCAGAACCTCCAGAAGTAAAGCTTAACTGCCATATTGTCACATAAATA